AAAAATAAGAATAATAAGACAAATTGAGTAAATATAATTAAATAGCGTAATCAAAAAAATTTAATATTACCTCAATTTTGATATTATAAGACACCAGCAGCCATTTCCTGAAAAAATGATAAAATATAAATTAATATAATATTTATGTATTATTTCAACCAAATAATAATAATCAAAATATAATTGAAATTAAATTATAAATTACATAAATAAAATTTATTTACCAATTACTATCTCCCAACAATGTTTCCTACAAAACAACAATATTAAAAAATATTAGTAGTGTAAATAAATTTATCAATAACTGAAATTCTTGTTTAATCAACAATTAATTAGCTAGAAAAAGAATGGAAGAGAAAAAGAGCTGAGATTAAGAAGATATAAACCAAAATTAATATAAGTATAGTGTAATAATAAATATGGTAAATTGAGCAACAAATTAATGGAAGAAAAATCCGGCCAGGACCTCTAGAGACAAAGCTGGAGAGGAGAAGAAAAAGAAGAAGAAGAAGAATGAAGAAACAAATAAAATGAACGGGAGATGCAAGTGTATATGTATATATAGAGCCTTTTAGCAATGGCTAGCTTGTCGGTATTCCTATTACCGATGTGATGCACATGGGTCAAGTGAAAATTTCAGCGGGAGCAACACAATCCAAAAAATTTGTGATCCCGCTTGTTTCTTACCGACTAGTTTCTTGTCGGTAAAGTGGAAATTTCGGCGCCACCACCAAAAATCCAAAATTTTGTTTCTTACCGACAAGAACCTTGTCGGTAAATGGAAAATTTCGGCGGCCCCGGCAGAATCCAAAAATTTTGTGAGCTGCTTGGTTGTTCTTGCCATCAGTTACCGACAAAGCCTTGCTGGGAAGTTAAGAGCATGCTGGGGAAGTGAAATGCCTTCAATTTGAATGGCATATTGGCAAGTTAAAAGCAAAACTTGGTCCAACAATGAAGATTGCCAACCCGCTCCTTGTGTGGGTAATTGTGGGTAATTATGAGTAATGCTAAGTCCCCCTTAATTACCAGATTTATTTCTTAAATTTATTTAATTTTGTAGAGTTACCTAAATCTGTATAATATATATTTAATTTTGAATTTATTCAATAGGTTTTTTACAATTTGGTCATTTTAGTGTACAATAATTCTAAAAAAAATTTGACAGAGTTTCCTCATATATCTGATCATAACCAATTTTTTTAAACCTGCATTTGCAATGAAAAGCACATATTCTACAACTTTACCATACTAAAAGTAGTTTTTTCTCTTCAACCACAACCATAAAGTATATCAACCATATGCCATTGTCCTAAATAACTACATGATATTCAATTCATAACAATTAACCCCCAAAATAGTCCAAAAGTTCATACTTCAAGCATGATTACTGGAGGTCAAGTAAAATATGAAAGGATATCCTAATAAAAAGTTAAAGCTAGCAGTTAAAAGTACTAATAGAAATAAAGGCAACCATGCAGAGTGTGCAGATAACCATGCAGATAACCAAGCAGAAAACAAAACTAAGGAGCTGAATAGTCTGGATCGAAAACAGGACGGTATACATCATCTTGAGGCGGAAGCTGCTGCTGTTGATATTCAGGCACAATAGGAGAGGTCTGTGTAGAATCAATAGAGTAGGTGACAGGTGTATTCATGCGAAGACCTGAGCCCTGATTACGTGAAGGCTGTGGTGAGGCAAATGGCTGATGACCTGCCTGGGGAGAGATGCCATAAGCAGCTAGAGCTGCTGCAACAGACTGTGCAATTGTCTGGCTCATATTATTCTGGGCTTCTGTCATATTATTCTGGGCTT